ATATATATATACATTAAGATTTTTAGATTAAATTTTATAAAATTAAATATTAGGAAAATTTTAAATATTTAATAATTTTAAAAATTAATATTAAATAATATTTAAAATAAAAAATATATATTTTATTTAAATTTTTTATCCAAGCACATTGTTAATGCAATTCAAACAACAAATTGCAAAGGTTTGTGTTATTTTGACTCGCCGTATCATCTACTGTCATTTTCAATTTAGCTAGAAAGGTCTTTCAATTTCTGACACACATTGCTTTACTGCACAGCGGGGTGGGGGTTGCCTCTTCTTTTTTGCAGTTGACACAAATCTCGAATATTTTACTGGTCAAGCTGTTAGTCACAACAAGAAATGACATGAATATTATGATGATGGCTTTGCCTTTGATAGTAAGCTAGTTATTGATTTTGTCCTCCACGACCAAAGGGATCAGAAAGAAAATATATTATACATAGTAACACTTCTGTATCCCAACATGAAATCAGCCGTGTGCATTGGTAAATGGTAGAAATTTTGAATCTGTTTGAGCGGATACGAAGGCTTTCATACCATTGTCCTGGGATATGTTTGGATATTCCTCCAAATTCACTTTCCTGACATGTTTTAGTTATTTTAAAAGTATGTTTAAACATTTTTATCACATTCATAATTTTACAAATTCTATTACTCAACTTTTGGATGTATACATTTTGTTATTTAACTTTAGAAAATTTCTTACATTTTTTCATTTTTTTAAATGATTGTGTTGTTAGTTGACCACATTATAATATATTGACAATTGATGTGAGACAATAATCTATTACACACATGTACTCAAATTAATCATAAGCATGAAATGATAATGTAACATATAAATGATAACGTAGTATTGATAAAATGTGTCATGTTAATAGTTAAAGTTACAAATCAATAGTTAATTAATGATGTTTGATAAGAGATTAACGAATTGTCTTAATATATATAATTTTGAAAGTTGAATAATAAGATATACAAAGTTAAATGTTAATCAATTAAATCATAAAATTTGTTAAATTGTGAAACATATAAGTATCAATCAGGGAAATTAAATCTTAAAAATTCAATTGTTCATTTATATTTTACATGAGAAATTAGTTTCTTAGAACCAAGCTCAAAATTTCTTTTATAAACTTTTTTTTATGAATAAGAATTAAAAGGACAAAACAAAATTAAAACCTAGGACTTATTCATATTACCTCAATCATCACCACTTGATCAATTCTAATGATTTTTACATATTTAATTTGAAAAATAAAAAATTACTCTGACTTAAATTTGCAAATTTTAATTATAACCCAAACCAAACATGCACTTAACTCTTACTACCTATGAATCTGTTTGGTTCAAATGAAGGAAAATGAGAGATTTTTAGGGGTGTGCAAAAAATCCAAATTGATCCGAACCGATCCATAACCGATCCGATCCATATTGAAAAATCCGATCCATTTTTAAAAAAAATCCAAACCGAACCACTTTATAAAACCGGTTCAGTTATCCGATCCATTTTTACAAAGTGGATCGGTTCGGTTCGGTTTGGTTTTCTAAAAAAACCGATCCATATATGAGTAAAAAAGTGAATAACTGCACCGCACCGAACCGATCCAATTTCAAAAAAACCGATCCATATTTTAAAAAAATCAAACCGATCCACTTTATAAAAAAAATGGATCGGTTAACCGATCCACTTTTATAAAACGGTTCGGTTCGGTTTGGATCGGTTTTTTGAAAAAACTGATCCATGAACACCCCTAGAGATTTTAATGGAGGAGAGGGGAGGAAAAGGAAAAAAGGTTAGCAAATATGTTTGATTAAGAGAACATGATATTTTAATGAAATAGATGAGAGGAGTAGCTCTACTTTCTTATTCGGTTCACAAGAAGAGGTGAGAGATTTTAAACACCAATTTATCTTGGTAACCTTATAATTTAAAAATATAAATAAAGATATTTTAAATATATGTTGAAATATAAACAAAATCTCACATCATTCAAATAAAAAGAAGAATATTGATTTTAAAGCAAGTGAATGTCTCTATCGATATAAGACCCTTTAAGTGATAATCAAAAATAAATTTATAAGGACTTAGATACAAAGTGATCAATATCATATAAATGAGAAAACAAGTATATCAGAACCTCTGGATACCTAGAAGAATCTAATGATTTAATTAAGTGATTGTCTTAAATAAGTATTTAACAATATAAAATGATAAATTTAAGTGAGAAATTCCTTATATCGAAAGTCTTTCTCACAATAATGAGACCATATTTCATGTCCTATTTAATACTTGTGAAATGAAATGATAAATTTCGCTAAAGAAAAATTAAACTATGATAATTTATTTAAAAAAATTATTGATCGAAATATAAATAAAGTATCATTAATACAAAAAAAAATTTGGATGATGATAAAAAATCATAATATTAAATACAAAGACATGTGTGTGAAAATACATGGTGCACAACATTATACAGTGGCAAGCAACAATTTTCATTTAAGAAAATCTCCTCTCCATCTGTCCACTTTCTTCCTAACAAACCCTTTGTGAATAAAGGTATGGAAGAATTCAGGTTTCGTTTCTCCGAAGCTAGCCATCCAAAAGCGGAATACAGCTGTCTCTTGACCTCATTCTTTTGCCTCCCATTTGTAGTATAATCTAGTACTGCATTTCACCATTCACTTTACGATTCACTCTTCACGGTGAAAGGCATGTTTTTTTATTTGCTGCATACTTTACATGCACGCGCAATGGTTCATTTACTTCAAAATGTAATTAAAGAAATTCTATTTGTATAATTTTAAAGAAACATAATGTAGTAAAAATAGTTAACACATGAATTTTTTAAGATGTGATTAAAACTGTTTTAAAAGACTTATCTATAATATCTACATAAGCGTCCTCCAAGATACAACAGGAACATTTTAGAACTAACAAGAAGAAAAGTTCAATATCCAAAGCAGAGATAGAGAGGAGAGTAGTGCTTCTCGATGTGTCTTTCCTTCAAAAAAATAAAGGAGGCTGGAGGTAGATGCATATTAAAAAGTAAAGGAAATAGAGAGTAATAAAGTACCAATGGCCAGAATATAAAAACCATTACATAAATTTTTATGAGTAATCAATTTTTGAAGATGTTAAAACCATTACTCTATTATAAGCTCTTCAATTTCAAAAATCTTTAAAAATAAAAAGTCGTAAAAATTGTGAGAAGCCTATGTATCTTAAACGTAGGGGACAAATCAACTATGACAGACCCACTAGACCATGTACACGCACGAGGATCTCTCTATTCTTACTAATTTTTTTGTATTGTATAACACAACTTAATATATAAACCATTCTTTAAAGACAATACTAATTGATGAGAGACTTCTACCTTTTGTAATACATTATATACAATAAAAAAAAAAGATAAAATAGTTTACATGAAGAAAATATATCAGAAAATAATAAATTATAAAAATGTGACATCAATAATGTAAGTAGTGTAGTTTACATGTTGACGCTCATTAGGTTGTCTTGATTTTAACCTTAAAAAGGCATATCAAGGGTGTTTGTCAATTATCCTTAACCTTAATATCTAAGTGATATGAAACTTTTAAGCTGGAACAAATCCCCTAATTGAGGCTAAAGGGCAAGAGCAAGCTTACTTAAGCGATATGGACTTTTAAGCATACCGAAATAAACCCACAATCAAGGTTAAGGAACAAGAGCAACCTAACACTCCTCCTAGTAATATTCTGGCTGTAAATTCGTTGATATGGTTAAGATCATCT